GTTATTCTCAGTCAGATCACACTGTTTACAACTTCGGACATAAAAAAGAAGGATGTTGTTTTCATAATTAGAATGTGGATACAGCAACATTAATTGACTACAGTGCAGTCAATGATTGAATAATATTAACTAGATTTTGTGGACAACTGGTTTAATATGACATCCAAGTTTAAGCTCCCACCACTGAAGCAGAAGAGGAAGAAGCTGATGGGTTTTATAATCAAGTTCATTTTGAAACTGACAGAACATGGAGGTAAGACTTGTTTCTAGAGATTGGAGACTGGAATACCGATGGAGTACATAAAAACTGAATTGACTGTATTATTGGTACAAGAAGGTAAAACAGTTCAGTTGCAACAGCAAAGACATGGCTGACAGATCACAAACAGATCAATGCAAGTTCCTAGTTAAGCTAAAATAGAAGAAAAAAAGAATTAGTTTTATTATCTTGAGCGTATACCCAACAGGAATCACTGAAGCCCTGAACTTCATTGATAGAACCAGAGACTTCATTGATTAGAACCAGAGGAACTGTGAAATGAACTTAAATGTTAATGATGAATTTGCAAAAGAGATTGCCAAATATCAAGAAATGGAAGAGAGTAAACTGGATGTCATAAAAAATGGCGTAAATTGCCAAGAACAGAAAAGAAGCAAAAGACAAGAAATATAATGAGGACACAACAAAGGTTTTCATAGAGCTGTCAGAAGAGATACACAGCAGTTTTACAACAACTCTAAAGACACTGAAAAGGGGAAAAACATGGAAAAAATAAGGCAAATCTTTAAAAAGTTATTTGAATTCAACAAGAGGTTCCAATCTTGAATTGGTAAGCTAAAGAATGCCAATGGACAGATAGTAACTGATTCAAAGATCAAGAAAGATGGAAAGAGTATTGAAATATTGTACAATAGAGGTGTCAACATCCAAGATCCCTTAGAAGAGATTCCATAATAGGAATTTCTCCTTAATAAGAACTTCTAGTACTAGGAGTAAGTACTACTTACCCAGGCAAGTAAGCAGAAGAAGAATCAGTAAAGGTTCTAACCAAGCTAAGCCAGCAAATCTGTAAAATGGTCAAAAAAGGGAAACCTAACAGAGTATGCCAACTATCTTACAATATCCTTAATTTTACATGCCAGCAAAATATGGTTTAGGATTATCTAACCAATAGAGCCCTATATGAAAAGAGAGATGCCAAATAGTCAAACTATCAGAAAAGAAACACAAGACATCATTACTGATGCATGCTGAATAATTCAGCAAACCAGAGAATACAAAAAAGAGGTATTGTGTGCTTTGTTCATTATAGAAAGGCCTTCAATTGTGTTGATCATGCTGAGCTATAGAATGCACTTAATAAAATGCGAATCTCAAAATATTTCATTGTGTTCATGTGAAACCAGTACACAGGTCAAGACGCTGTAGAATGGATGGAGAATGGCAAAACAAAATGTTTCCTGTCTATGAAGATTCTCAGTAATCCAGGACATGGTTGTCCCAAAGGTGCATTTTCAAGAGGCTGTGTTCAACAGTGAAGGGACACCGGGCAGAAAACATCCAAGAAGGCTCCACGTCCTTTTGCACTACTCAGGTGACCCTGATGACACAGACAAACCTCTAAGTATCCTCAACAACTCTATAAAAGAATGCAAATGACCAACTGTGTGCAAGGAGTATAAATCCTTCCATTCCCCACTATCTAGTCAGAGCTGAAGAAGCTTCTTGGATGAGAAGTGAAACATCTTCTAAGAAAAACAAGAAGGTTTGGTTGCCTCTTGAAAAAACACCTTTGGGACAACATGTTTCCTGCTTGCCAGAGGAATGAAACAAGACTGTACAATATACTTTGCCATTAGTTATTCAATCTACATGTGGAACATATATTGTGGGAAACTGGATTGGAAGACAATGAGCATGGTTTTGAAACTGGAAGAGGAAACATCAATAACCAATGTTCTGACAGTTAAAAATGCAAATGATCTGCAAGCTGTAGTAATAAAAGTCAAGGTTCACAGTTAAAAATGGGATTAAGTTTAAATATATAAAGATGACCAAATTAATGACAAATGCAACAACCAGCCTTAGAATTGACAATATAGATTACTGAAGTGATACGGGATACTTTTTTGGATTTGCTATCTGGGTAAAGGAAGCAGCAATCAAGAGATGTGCCATAAAGCAGCACTTGGAAGACTAGCCATGGAAAAATTATTCACATGTTCAGATGGGTCAAAAATCCACAAAGACTAGAAAAATTTTGGCCAGGTACTTTGTATCAAAGTGACAGCTGGGCCTTGAAGAACCAGGAAGAACCGGTAATTGAACTTTTGGAGAAGATTCCTGAGATTGTCATGGATAGCTTAGAAAAGAAACAAGTGGATCATTGAGCATATCAACCTAGATCAGGGGTTCCCAACCTGGGGTGCTCGCACCCCCTGGGGGTGCGAGACGATATTCCAGGGGGTGCGAGAAAAGTCCAGGTAAATAATAGGATATTGGCTATATGTTGGCATTTTTATTTATTATGCAATGGATTAACTTTGTTTTCATTTTAGAGTTAAGTATCGTTATTTAGTGGCCGTCACATACATAGCTGAAAAGATTCAATCCTACCATATATTTAATGCGTTCAGTAGTTCCTAAAGTCTAAATTTCAGGGGGTGCGAGGTTCAAGTGAAATTTCTTTAAGGGTGTGGGGCGAAAAAAAGGTTGGGAACCACTGACCTAGAGGCATAAATTCATTTGAGACATAAAAGACCAGGCTCAAATTATTCTATTTTCAACAAATTATCCAAAGATCTAATTCTCTGGAGAAGTATATAATTATAGTGTTTGTGTAGATGGAAGTAAAGAGAAGAGGACAGCAAGGTGGATGTCAGCTATGGAAGCCATAGTGAGACCCGATGCTCCCACGCTGCCACAATTGAGCCTGGGAAAGTGGGAGGGGAGAATATATTGGAGTATATCTAGTTAGACATAACATTCTTTTTCTGATTCAAGATCAGGTCGTATTGCATATTGGTGAAAGGAAGTCTTAACTTGGGACGGATGGTGATTGGGCCATGTGATGTGATGATGGGTGCAGGGGATGGATTTGTAATTTTTACTTATTGTAAGGAAGCCCGGAACTTTCAGATTCGGGATTCCACAGTTGTGCCAGCTACTATCCAAATAAAGGAACTTTTGAGAGATGTCTGTCTCGGAGTTATTGGGTGGAATGGAGTTTTGCTGAAACACTGACAGTGGATGGATGCAATTACAGCAGCAATGGGTGCACTGGTGAGGGACCCCACTGGAGAAAATTCTTGTGATTGCTAGAAGCTGATCAATCCAAATTTGGATGCCATTCCATTTCCAAAGCCTCTGAACAGCTTGCAGTATTAATACGTAAAATCACTTGTAGATAGTCCTCAAGTTATACTTAGTAACTCATTTAGTGAGCAATTGACATTACAGCGAAGTGACTTATGACCGGTTTTTACACTTACAACTGTTCTAGCATCCTCATGGCCATGTGATCAAAATTCAGGCATTTGGTAACTGGCATGTATTTGTGACGGTTGCACTTGGCCCAGGATCCCCATATCCAACCTTCCCAATTGACTTCTGACAAGCAAAAGTTCATGTGGGATGCCAGATTTGCCTAACAACTGCAAGATTCATTTAACAACTGAAGTGATTCTGTCAACTTCAAACTGAACCTCTGTTCCTCAGTTGTCACACAGGGCAGAAAGAGGTTGGAATGAGAACCGAGGTCATTTCCATTGGCAACAGTTGGGAAAGAAGTGCCTGAAGAGCCAGCCCTTTGGTTAACTCAATTAACCAGTGTGACTGTGACTATTTCCTAGTTTAATTGTACCGAAACCACGGGAAAGATTTAGATTTGGCTTTCCATTGAAGCTGTGCCAATATGATATACTCTTTAAAGACCTTTGAGAAGCAGCCAAGTCTCAGGCTTCTGATTTGCTTGGCTTCATTAGTTGAAGCCTTGACAGATTCATTTAACAACTATGATAAAAAGGTTATAAAATGGGACATAACTCATTTAATAATTTTTGTACAGAAGTAGCATGATCTTACTCATCCCCAAATGATTTTTTCTTGTGTAATCATTCAGTCACTTCCAACTGTGATCTGATACACGTTATTTCCCAGGATCGTCTGTCAATAGCCACTCCTCTGAGTTCTTGCAAGCCTCATAATGTTTGTTCAAAGACAATTTTGCCTCATGAGTCAGCTGAAATTTCTGATCTGCCTTTAACATACATAACTCTATTCTACAAGAAAGAAGATCTGCTTCTCAAAAAAAAAAAAAAAAATAGATGCATTTTGGTCATTAGGTGCTCATCAGTCCCATCATCGAACAGTTCTGACACTTTTTATTCCTTCCAGCCCAACTGAATGTTGGAAATAAATTATATAAAGATTCTCAGAATTCTGCTTGAATCTGCAGAATCCCTCTCTCAAAATGGAATCAAATTTGGTAAGATGGGAGAAACTGTCAAACAAAATAGCAATAGCACTTAGACATATACTGTTTCATAGTGCTTTACAGCCCTCTCTAAGCAGTTTACGGAGTCAGCATATTGCCCCAAACAATTTGGGTCCTCATTTTACCGACCTTGGAAGGATGGAAGGCTGAGTCAACCTTGAGCCAGTTAGGAAATATTGAATTTGAAATGGGCTGGATCTAAGTTGGGTCAGAGGAGAAAAGCATTCCAGGGGGCGGGGAAACAGTCCAGAAAATAAACATCTCTCTAAAAGAAACATGAGGCCAGTTCCACCACATTCTTAAATTCTTCCTTCCTCATCCCAGTCACCTGAATCATAGATCACTCTATGTTTCCCAGTGGGCACACATACGCAAATATATAACACAACCAGAAGGGAGAAAATATAGACAGCTACAACATTATTACTTCGTTGCAAAGAACAAAAAAACAGATTTCCTGTGTCGTTGCTGGTATGAATTTCAGAAACTCTTGGGTTTTTTTTAATTCCAAAGTACATCAAATAAAGTGCATATGAATAAAATACAGTGGCAACAGTGGAATCCTGACATACAGTTGGATAGCTGTGGTTAAAAACTCTCAAAGTTTCACATACAATAAGCTATATATGATCAATTTTTAAAAATTATTTGTACACATCCTGAATAAAGTATCACTAATGAATATGCTTATATATAAAATGTACATTTAATTAATGAAACAATTGTGTATATTTTAATCAGACTAAGCATCATTGAGAATTTCAAGTTCTTAAAATCATTAATTAATTCTTTAAATAATTTTGCCTCTAGAATTAACAAGCATTTGCTCTCAAATTTTCAAGACTAAATGAAAATAATTGAAAAGCAATTATGTGATCCTTTGATACTAATTATCACTGCTATACAGAGTGCCAATGGATATGTACAGTCCTCATTTCATTTAGCAAAATTTGTTTCTTAGTTTCAGCTTCAAGTTAGTGGGGTTTCTTCTTTGCTTTTTTGTCTCTTTTTCTCTTAAATATATTTTGGAGGAAAAGATGCAACAGAATGCATTCACCCCACCCTTATTTGTGGGGGAAACATCGATTTTCTGTTATCCTGTGCCTTTGTTCCCCTAGAAAGTCATGTTTTCTTTGGATTTTCAAAAACAATGTGATTGTGTTCTGGAAAAACTAGTATTATGATCCTCCCTTTCAAACTACAATGGTCTTGAGTGGCATCTCAATCAATAACTAGGCAGGTGTCGCCAACACTTTAAGCTAACACAAACTGTTTCTCATGGATGCTTTTTTGTGGGGTGTAACATTTATCTGGACATTTATCTGATTTCATGCATTCATTGCCATTGCCCTTTTCATAGCTTGTCTTGGTTTCTAATTCTGAAATACCCACCACTTTGAAACACATTCATGTCCATAAAAATGTTACTCTCCTGGCCGGCAATCTTATCCAGATGTCAGAATTATGCCAGTGCTTGTAACATCCTTGGGCTTTTGTTCTTAAAGTTTCTTGCTCCTGTGACTTCTGAATGTATGGGTTTCCTGGCTGCATTTCAGGTGCAGGAAGAACTAAGCCAAGGGGCTTGTAAACATGTTGTCATTACTCAAATCTCTGTAAGGCATCATTTAGAATTACTACTTTTAGGAAAGGATGGATGGGCTCTGCTGTTGAAAACTGTTTCTAGAACCTGGCAGCTGAATTGTGCAAGCACCACTATTTCTCAGGGAAGACTTCCAGTTTCTATTCCCACCTTCCTTGCTCCATAATAATGGCTGTCATTACTTTTGCAGAGAAAGTGAAAATCCTCGAAGTCTGATACGATGCCATTCCACTCCTGCAAGGAAGCCTCGTGAATTAAAGATCTTCCTTCCGTCTTCCTGTTTGCTACTCCTTTAAGCTTTCCTTTCCCAGACGCCAGCTGTCACCAAGGAAATTTGCAGCAACATCTTCTCCTGCCTCCTTAGTTGGCTGAAGCTGCACCAGCATGGCCTGGAGAGTTTCCTTCACCATCTGGATCTCTCTTTGTAGAAACTGTATATGCTTTATTAAGGAATAAATTGAAAGGTAATTGGCAGCTCCCTTCCCCTCTCCCACTTATTTCATAAGTTGTTGTTGTACTCTGCACAACAGATGGGCACTGCTAGCTAATTGCAGCATCAAGTTCATCTAAATTGATTGGATTAAATATTAATACATATTTCACACTAGCTCCCCACCCCACCACACCCCACCCCCGCAAACACGCACACACACACCTGTCTTCGTGAGCCTGCAGGCAACCAACAGCCTTATGCAGTGTTTTTGCTTAAGGGGTGTAAAATGAACAACATTCTAGGGGCATGTATGTGCATATGTAAGTGTGAATGGCTGCTGTAATTCCCGAAGTGGTACACAAAGAGGGAATTGCAGACACTGTTCAGAGAGAGTGATCTGAAATCTTCATTTCAAAGTTATATAAATGAATATAAATAACCTGTTTGTCACTGTGCCAGAACTTCAGTTTATAGATGTTAATTTTAACTAATTTGGTCTCCGAGTTCACGTTTATAGAATTCTCTCTTTCTTCCACCCACTCATATGCAGGTAACATACTGCTTCCCCCAAGATGAAATGCAATCCCATTTTTTAATGTAAAAAGGTAAACGTAAAAGTTCCCCTCGCACATATGTGCTAGTTGTTTCCGGCTCTATGGGGCGGTGCTCATCTTCATTAAAAAGCTGAAGAGCCAGTGCTGTCCGAAGAAATCTCTGTGGTCATGTGGCTGGCATGACTAAACACCAAAGGCGCATGGAACGCTGTTACCTTTTCACCAAAAGTGGTCCCTGTTTTTCTACTTGCATTTTTACATGCTTTCAAACTGCTAGGTTGGCAGAAGCTGGGACAAGTAACGGGAGCTCACTCCATTACTTGGTGCTAGGGATTTGAACCGCCAAACCGCTAACCTTTCTGATCGACAAGCTCAGCATCTTAGCCACTGAGCCACCGCATCCCTTATTGCAGCAATAAAAGCATTCTAACCATGAGGTTATATTCCGTTTGTGAACACATGTGCTTTAACATAAAATGTGTAACATGTAACTTGGTACATTAGCATGTGCCCACAGTTTGGAGTGCTGACTACAACTTGCAGTCTTGGAAATGGGAATTTATTTCCTCTGCAGCTTTATTTCTGCAATTGGATCAATATGTATGGAATGACTCTCCATAATACTAACCAATTTCCTATGGAACCTAGCACAAATGGAGCTTAATTAGAACAGATGCAATCAGAGTATGACTAATTTCTATGTACAGTGAGAACAACAATACTTAAAAAAAAAAGTTGCATGCTTTGGTTGGGAACCAAATGTTGAAAATTATTTTAACATGAAGACAGTTAACATCTTAACATGCAAATAGTTCCTGATGGGCCTCCCTACCTTTTATTTTGCTTCAGATTTCTGATCTATTAGACAAAGCTTGCTGATTTTCATCCCCATTCAGCAAATTGCTTCTTTCATGGTGCAAAATAAAGGAGCAAAGGGATCACCTGGTGTCCAGACTTCCATAGCCTGCTGTGACTATGTGCATCCAAGTGTTAAAGCTGGAATAACCATAGGCCATTGCCACTCCTTTTGGGACTGGCCTTGCTACTTATCTACGGCACTCTTTCCAGTGGCTCTGGAAAGTTCAGTGCCTTTTGATACGGTGAGAAGTTTTATACCAAAATATATTCTATTTTATACCGTCTCCATCTTCCCTTAAACATTCACAAAACTGACAATGAACTGAGAATTGTATCTCTGCTAGATAATTGACAGACAATCTGAAACTAGGTTAATCTAGTAAAAATAGCAAATGGAGGGAAATCCTTTATTCAAATATCCTTGAACCCCAAAATAAGTCACCCAGACTTAATCCACACATCAAAGAAGAAGGTCTGTAAACTCAAACAGCGCTAATTAAAACCTTCTCCCAACAGAACTGCACATTCACCAAAATAAGCATAGTAGATTACACATACCTACTCAATCTCCATGGCCCAGAAAGGCTGTTTTTTGTATATATTTTCTATATTTCTATAAAAATGTCTGATTTCTGTATCCCTGTTGTAGCTTCCTTTCAGGGCCAGATTCTGTGCTCTTTAAATAAACCAATTCCTTTCCATGCAGCATGTTTGGTGTCCTTGAATACTCTGTCTCAGATCGGGACCCTCAAATGCCTTGCACAATACGAATAAATAGATACATGGATAATGTAAATTCTTGCCTGTTATTCATGTCTCTCTCCTTGAGGCTGTGTTTTTTTTTTTTTTTTTTTGCCTGTCTTATCCTATTTGCCAGTTAAAAGTTTTGATGTTTGCTGATGTTTAGCATGTAAACATCAAACTATATTTTTGCTAGTTGATCTGAGTGATGTATATGCTTTCTCTGATCTGGATATATGGGTTGACTGGAAGTGTGCTAGGTACAAAGTATATTGGAGATTACCCACAATATTTTCCAGCAACCTTACCTAAATATATATATTTCACAAGAAGATAATAATATATAATATATATTTCACAAGAAGAGTTCTCCACTCCTCTACTCGTTGTAGAATACCTTATGCCACCAGACTTGAAATTCTAGAACTAGAAAACCTTGAACTACGCCGTCTTCGGTCTGATTTAAGCATGGTATATAAAATCATACATTGCAATGTCCTACCTGTCAATGAATACTTCAGCTTCAACCATAACAACACAAGAGCACACAATAGATACAAACTCAATGTTAACCGCACCAAACTTGATTGCAGGAAATACGACTTCAGCAATAGAGTGGTCAATGTCTGGAATACTCTACCCGACTCTGTAGTTTCTTCCCCAAACCCCAAAAACTTTAACCTTAGACTGTCTACTATTGACCTCACCCCTTTCCTAAGAGGTCTGTAGGGGGCGTGCATAAGCGCACCAACGTGCCTACCGTCCCTGTCCTATTGTTTCTCTTATTCTTCTTTTATTTTTCTTATATGTACCCATTTCATGTATTCACAACTATGTATACACTTATACTTATTATCTTGTAAACAATTGGCAAATCAAATAAATAAATAAATAAAATAAATAAATATATATATATGAAGGTAAAAATATGGCCTTAAGAGGTAACTGGAAGTGGGGGGAGGGGAATCCCAGGAAGGAGATGAGGGAATCAGAAGGGAATCATGGGAAATATATGTACATATTTTCAATCTCAGTTTCATATTCCAATTTAAAAAGATTTTTTCAGCTTTTTTTTATTAAAGCTTTCTCAAGATTCCATCCTCCGTAATTTACATAAATTTGCTGAGTCACACTATTTTTAAAAGGAATTGTATTGTTCTGTATATGCATGTGTAAAAGTACACTTTTTAATTTTAGAATTCTATGATATTCTACAAATGAAATTACAGACAAAAACAAAAAGAATAAAACAACAATAATAAACCCAAAATAATAATAAATTGAAAAACAAAAATAAAAATGAAGGTCCATACAGCATATAGCAAGTTTCAGAAAGGATATGAATATATAGAAAGGCCAGCTTTTTAAAAATATTATTAAATTTATACCACACAGATATATAGTGCTCCACCTTTTCATTTCCCACAATATTGGGATACTGTAAAGGTAACTCACCTTTTGAATCCATCTTTAACACATACTGTAAAGTCTTATTTTCCCCTCACACTTATGTAAGACAATTCTCTCGGCTGATATCTGGGTTACTTAGAGCCATTTTATTTCATAAAAAGTCAACATCCACATTTAAACAAAAATAGTTCAACCTTGTGCATAATTTCACCCAGTGTTTAGAGATTTTCATTTTTTCATTGCTGAAGAAATATTGCTCAGATCTTTAAAATGAAAAATAAACTGACCCTCAATGAAACCTTCATAATTCTATAGAGGTAGTGAAATGGGTACAGAGTTCCACAAGGCATTGTCAGACACACCACACACTATTCAAAACGATGGTGCTCCATCTGTGTCACAGATTCATCCTCACTCTGCATTTACACAAGGTCCAAACTATCTGGAGATAGTTCCAGGTCCCGACTTCCTCCTCCTTCAGTTGTCTGCTTTCAAGGAAACTGAGAGTAATAAGTAATAAGCTCTACTGATAGTTTTGTGGACCACTGAGCAAAGTCACTTCAATGAACTTCTATCCTCCCGGTATGACCCTGGTAAGTTTTATCTGATTTACGTGACCTTAACTGATCTCCAGAGAAGCAACAAAGGTTGGATCTGATTAGTTCTTGAAGCGAATATACCAGGAAATCTCAGGTTTTTATGCAAGATTAGGAAGTCATAAAACATCCAAGAAGGCAGCAATCCAAAGTAATCAAAAGAGCTACATGCTATGACTGCTCAACAGGCATCAACAAGAGTTGAATTTGATCTAAGAACTCTTTCATTTTTACTTCTGGGCCAATTGGAAAAGCAAATAAATGCTTCTGCTCCTTCTCTTTGCTTGCTAAGAGAAGGGCAAATAAACAGGGAAGCATTTTACTAAGTGATTACTAACATGACCAAAGATTCAGGGAATAGCTATGGATTGATGACAGATTCTCTGCAACACAGACTTGTAACACAGATATTCAGAGACAGCGATTTCTCTGGTGAAAAAGGTTTCATTTGATAGTAAGTGCTCAGTCTCAGTATGTGGCGCTGAGACTATGCATATGATATTCTTTTCGCAATTTTAGTTAAAAGGATATCATGTTGTACCAGACAAAAAAGAACAGGGATAGACATTCTGATTTCCATATGCACCTCCCTCCAAATAGATGTGTTTTATAGTCTGTTTTAAAAAAACAAAATAATAATTCTCCAAAAAAAGGAATCTGTAATTCAGAACCACTACAGAAAACTACTGAAACCTTTTTATTTTTTTTATTTTTTGAAGCATAATGAAAAAGGAATCCTTTGTATATGCAGGACTAAATGAGTCAACCCATATTTTAGTCAAACTATTAAAAGCACTCAAATTGTCTGGCAAAATCATAACTGCTAATTAAGACCCCAAATAACTGTGAAATTGCAATATAAAATCCATTTAATTTTATTGGGAATGCTAGAACTCGCCCTATCGGTGAAATAACACCTCTCATCAGCTCCTTAGACACCAGAAGTGCATTACCTCAGCTTTTGACTCTTCCAATTAACAATTCAGATTATTTTCATATGCTTTTCAACTGATTAAGAGCCATTGGCTCTTTTGCAGACTTGCTGAATTCTGGTACTTTTATCTAAATATATTGATCAGGCAAAAGGATACATACAATCCAATACCAGCTTACTCGGGAGTAAGTCCCATGAAATTCAAGGGATTTATATCAAGTCTAAGGGTGCAGTTTAATTTGGTTGTTTGCTTTTTTCCCTCCATCTGCCAAATGTGAAACCTACTGCTTAATATTTACTTTGAGAAGCTACAATATTAAATAAAAATCCCTAGTGGGCCTAGGTAAATATTCAGTGTTAAGCATCAGTGCTGGCTTCTAGCTTCATCTATGTTGTGTTATTCAGCTCCTGCTAGCAGGCTGGTTGATTCCAGTATTCAGTGCCATTAAAATGTAGATTGAAAAAACAATGACATCTGGGATTTATTGCTTCTAATAGAAATTTAATTATTAATCAAACCTGCAGTGTGTTTAAATATTGGCAGAACTGCTTGCTTGACAGCACCAGGAAGTTGGATCACTCGGAAGGAATCTTTTAATCTCTCTTTTTAAGACATGCAGTTCTACTTCTATCTATTAAACCAATTTTGTCTTAGTCAGACTCAGAACTGGGGACCTATTTTGCCATCTGCAAGAACTGATGCATCTTAATGTATGCCTTAGACATGAAAATATCTAGGAGTGGTATATGTTTGCCACCAGAAATACTGCATGCATCTTTTGAAGAGCAAGTAACTGCCATTGCTACGAGCTACTTCCAACATGACATTGCCCGCTCCTCTGCTCATTTAATTTTCCATGCCAATGAACACTTGATGTGAACATCAGAAGCTCTGGGAGGTGGCATCTTCAAATCAGCTTCCAAGGCTAGGTTGCACTTTAAGATGTGAACCGCTCATGGAAGTTGATCTTGCTCAATTCAGAATCCTATAGTGATTGGGCAAGGATATAAAGTCAAACCAAACTGAAGTGCTTTTATGTTTATACAACTTTAGTGCACAATGTTCTAATAGCTGCAAATTATTATGATTGGGTGTAGATTTTTAGAATGGATACGGCATTTTTTTTATCCAGCTATCGAGTCTTTTCCAAGGACCTGGGATAAGCAGATATGTTTAATAATATTCATCACAGGATATAAGCTGTTCCAAGTAAAACTACTTTTTTGCAATTGATTGATATGATTTTGTCAACACCGATAGAGTTCAAGTGGTACTCCCAAGTGGTTTTGGGATTGCACCCATATATCACTATTGCTTTCTTTTTCCATAATCATTCTACTTCTGTTTGCAGGCCTTTGTATATTGTGATTTTCTCAAGTTCTTTCTCTTCTATTCTGCTACCTCCATGTACTACCATGTTCACTGTCCTGACCTTTTTGGGAGGTCTTTATTATCAACAATTGCTAAGTCTGGAATGGCAGATGCTTGTCTGTTTGTTATTATCTATTCATAACAATCTGAAATCATATTGCCAGTTCTTTAACTAGTGTTGGCTTTCATATGCATCAAGCTCTTCCTAAGAACCTAAAATGGCCTAATGCATTGGTGTAGTATATGTAGATACAGCATAAGCAGTATGGGCTTTTGCATTGACAGATAGAAATGTTGTCAATGTGCATATTTTCTAAGTGCCATCCAAGATTTTTTGGTATGCTGGGACTAACATAACCTTTCCATTTTGATTTTGGTATCTTGATACTATGTGATCTTCTCTACTTTTTGTCTTCTATTCTCTATCCCTTGGTAGTGCCACAACAATTATCAACACTTTCTTCTTTTCAACCATGTGTGTTTTGTTTTCTTGAAAATCAGTAAAAGTGGGGTCATAACAATGATAAATTATAAGAATGATGAGTCACCCTGGAAGATGCATCTCCTAATGCGGACAAATGGCACCTTAAAATAATCTTCATCTCCTATGTTATTTTCATTCCTTACATTACGTCTTGATTAACAAGTTTTATCCAGGGAACCATTGTCTTCTGGAGTTTTCAGAAATTCAGGTTCCTTATTCATGGGATTTTATCTGAACAGCATCTAAATGGCCACTGTGTTACAATTTTTGCATAGGAAAAATTGTAGGACAATATGCATGATAAGTAATCCTTGAATATTTTAAGAGGAACTCTGTCCCAAGATATGTATCCTTTATTTGTCAGTAGATGGGAATCTCCTCTATTTGGTAACTCAATTATTTTGTGTACCTTTGGCTGCTTTCAAGGATGGGGGACTGAGAATATAGGCAATGCACATTTCTTCAGTTTGCAATCATCCCTAAGTAGCAATGTTGCCATAAGGCTTGGAACCATGGGAAAGCAGTGTTCACAGTACATTAAAAAGTGCCACAAGGGTGTCAGTTCTGTGTACAAATTCAGCTGAATAAGATGGTAGTGGCCATCAGGAACAACATTACACAAGTGGTTGAGTCCTAACTACCTAAGCACAAATTTTACAAACAGCTAAGTGCATTTTCTTTCTTAAGAGGTCATTAATATTAGAAATATTAGAAATATGCATAAAATAAGTTGGATAATCTAATTTGAGCTCTTTTTACATGGTTTGATTACCGTAAATCTAATGTCAAAATTCCTCATTTCCTTACTAGCCATTTATAGATTTGTAATCCATGCAACTTTATACAGTTAATGGATATTTACTGTTAAAAGTACTCTACTGTAACATTTAATATAAGGTATTATAAAAGTGTAGTTTGGAAATTAGAATTGATATTAACAATAATTTATCTATTCTTAATTTTTCATATTTAGCATGCCATACAACTACGGCAGCACGAAAATGGTTCAGATGAACCTTTATGGGCTCTATGAAAACCAGCATATTTTAATCTGACCTACTTTAGATCAAGCCAGTGAAAAGATTTCACTCAGTTTCAAGAGCACTAGGTAAATGATTTTCTGACAGACTCTGAGGAATTGACTGCTCAGGAATACATCTGATCCATCTGGTAATTTAGAATTATATTAGATGGCTGATAGAAAAAAAAATTGAAAACTATTATGTGTGTGCAAAGCAATAAGTGCAAAAATTTTAGTGCAGTGGAAGCAAAATCTTTGGAAAGCCTCTTGCTACTACAACCAACCTCAAACCTTTCGCTTGTTTCTGTGAAAAGTTCTTCTGATTCATCCCACTCCTTAAGATGGAGAAGATGATCACTGAGTTACATGGGCCCAGTTAAAAATGGCAGTATAGTGGCTAAGATTAAGACTGGGAATACTCCAGTTAAAGTCTACAGCTATAAAAATTTACCAAGGGACTTTGCTTGTTCTTTGCTCATCTTTCCTCGGTGGATTATTTTTGTGGAGCTAAACATGAAAGGAGATCCTCTATGTAACTCTTGGAGGAAAGGTGAGAGCTAAATCTAATTACTAGTAATTGTTTGTGATGATGCAAGTAAAGGAAAGGAGGAGGGAAGTAAAAGACCTGAAGCCAAGAGACAATGAGCACAGTGAATACAGAGGCAGAAGCAGGGAGAAAGTTAGATAACCAAGTGCAGAAGATTTGATGAGAGAAGTGAAAATGGGTCTTTGTTACTGGATTAAGAGAGCAAGGCAACAAGCAAATTACAAGGCGAAGCCATAAGATTTTTTAAAAAAATGGATAGAATCAAAAAATATTTTTGAAGGAAGTTGATGAAAGGCAGCTAGCACTCACTAACACAGCTTAAGAAGATTAAAAACCATTATCCTTACCTTATGAGGATTATAATACCTGATCATACACAGAGAGAAGTAGGAAGCATATGTGCCTCATTCTACATGGTATGTTGTACTATATAGCATCCTGCCATTTCTTTCTTTCCTGATGACAATTTATGTAATTTTTAGGCTCCGAGGTTCCGCTCTTGATACATTTATTATTGACTTATGTATCTTGATGATAGGATTGACTCCTGCTGAATTCATGGACAAATATTCACCACCTCAAGTTGTCTCTAAACAGCCTCTGGGTCTTCCACTGAAAGTCATATAACCTGTGGAAAAAGTCAGAGTTGGCTATCTGCCTGTTCCCAGAGGCTGGTGAGATAGTATGTTAAAAGTAGAGTGGACTGATTAGTATAAATATATAAATATGAAATAGATTTGTTTTGCCCTTGCCAAAAATCTATTTTTAAATGGATTTATTTTGCCTTTGAAAAAATTATATAAGTAGTATGAAAATTAGGGTAGCAGAGGAAAGTGATAACATGACTGATGAGAATCTTTCAGTAGAACTAAACAAAAGGCTTTCCCCACCCTTGAATGGCCAATACTTCAAATTAAAAGTCTGTATGAGATGAGCACAGATAATTATGTGATTTACTGGAATTCTATGCTCAGCATAAGCTAATCTGCTTCCCTTTAAAAATGTTTTTTAGATGCATGCTCATGAAACAATGTTTTCTTTTCCAGTCTTCTAGTCGATGCTGTAACTAGGTATTCATTACTTTTATTTTATAGCACTCAAAAGCATATTAACAGATTTGTTAAAAAGTTCTTTCTCATCAATCCAATTCAGTAGTTTTTAAACTATTTAAACTTATTTGGCTAGTTTATATTTTTAGGAAGCAATGCTACAATAGTTATCTGAAGCAAGATTCACACAAGGCAAGTTTCAATGCAGGAGTTGAATGCAACCTCTTCTGTTGGGAATACTTGATACAACACATCACAAAAGGATATGAACAAGGTCTTCATCGTAACTACAGGCTGCTAGCTGAAGTTGCTCTTCCAAGAATACTAGCTTCTTGCTTATTCTTTCACATTTTTCTTTGAATTCTGTAGAAAGCATATCGAATTCCTGTAAGTACATAAAAAATATGAAAAGGAAATGATTCTCATACACTCAGTTGTTATTACCATAATTGGTGTTTGATAATATTTCACTGCTCAAAAGCAAATGAAACTCTATAGCTGCAGATATAACCTCAAACGCTTATCAGAAGTGAGATAGCTGGGAACCTTATGTTAAGGAGGACTATTTCAAAGAGATAATCTCTCTCTTTCTCTCTCCCTCTCTCTCCCTCTCTCTCTCTCTCTCTCTCTGTGTGTGTGTGTGTGTGTATGTGTGTGTGTGTAGACACATGCATACTTTCAGCTGATTGTGCAAGTCTCTTTGCTGTGCACTGGTTTCATATATAATTGGACCAATGGATTTGTTCCACACTTATCAAGCTGAAATTTATGCAACAGGAGATTAAGCCTTAGTTCTTATTAAGGTGGTAAAGTTCTTTCGAGACTATGCGGTTTGGTAATTTAGAAAGTGGTGCTTGATATCCAACTAATGCTGCAAGAAGTGTTACTGCAAATTCAATTCCATGGTTGCCACACTAAATTATTGTGATAGCTTTGCTCATTGCAACTGTTGACAGTCAAAGCAACTCTTCTATATGCCTATGGAAACATAATGTAATTTGTGATTTTGGGAACTATGACAAAGTATCAATTTTACATCAAACAGTCTGAGATCCTCTTTGTTTTTTTCACATTTAATTATTCTCTGTATTATTAACACAAAACAAGTAGGATGTATATAATAGTCTTACAGTCTAATTATTATGGTTCACTGTACAGTCATTCAGATGTTCAGACTAGATTTGGAATGTTTATCCACCTATCAAATATTATTATTATCACTGGCCCCACTTTCTTCCTGCCGGTTTTATATTGCTCCCCAAAATAATACAACTGTTTTTCACTCTGCTTTTAG